GGCCAAGTGTCGAACTTTATCTAGCCACATCACATCTTGTCCGGAGGAAATGGTTACAATATTATGCTCTTTCGACTTTGGAAGTGTGATTTCACGTAGAAGATCATGGATACGACATGTTATGGGTCTTCCCTCCAGTGATCTCCTTGCCACTTGAATTAAGCTTCTGTTCAGCAGTTCATTGAAATAGCCTGTGGCAACTTCTTCTGAAGTTTTTCTTTCTGTCTCTTGCACGAATTGCAGTGCTGTCCACAGTCGAATCACCTGTTTTTTTTCAATTTCATAATCCTCAGGAAAAATGCTCAAGTAAATGAAGCAAATTTTGAGATGGTAAGACAGATCATAGTAACTAAGAGACAATATTTTCTTCACTCTCTCATATTTGCCCGCACCTTCAAGTTCAATACTAAGGTCGCGCTGAACCATCTCCCACTCGTTTATTCTACTTTTGTCCTTCAAAGCCAATATGCCACCAATTGCAACAATGGCAAGTGGCAATCCCTCGCATTTTCTCAATATATTTCGTGACGGTCTTTCAAGATGTTGAGGGCAGCGTTTGTCTTCAAATGTCTTATTACAGAAAAGAGTCCAAGACTCGTCATCAGACAAAGCATTCATTTCATACTTGTAACCTNAATGTCTTATTACAGAAAAGAGTCCAAGACTCGTCATCAGACAAAGCATTCATTTCATACTTGTAACCTTGGGATTCAAAGCATGAATCAGAAGCCACATCAACTACACGAGTTGTGATCAGTACACGACTACCACAATTACCATCAGGCAATGCATACTTGATGGCATCCCATGCTTGTATGTTCCATATATCGTCTAACACGACCACATACCTGTACAAATAATTATAGATTTTACTTATAAATTTATGATTAGAGTTAGAAAAAATGACTACTGAATTTTGGCCAAAGCAATAATTATTAGAATTATGACGTGAATAAAATAGTTATGCGTGTTGTAATTTAAAATTAGAAATAAAGCATGCAAATAGTGGTTAGATCATTANTGTGAATAAAATAGCTATGCGTGTTGTAATTTAAAATTAGAAATAAAGCATGCAAATAGTGGTTAAATCATTAAAATATAACATGTGATTTAAATGAATACATGCAATTTATATAAACTAAATAAATTTATTTGGAAAGAGCTAGTCTGCAAGTTCAAGAGACGTGTGATAACTGTCTTAAAACAATTTAGCCTCCTCACATGAGGGAACTGACGAACACCAGCGACTTTAAGATCCAATTGAAACACTAGTAGCACTTTCTCAATTGTCACGTTCAGGAGGGAAATGTTGAAGTGAACCTGACTCGAATTAACTTGTCCAAAAATAAAATAATAGATAATAATTGAAAAACTAGGTCAAGTACAAAGAAATTGAAATAAGCAATTGAAAGGTCTCTGAAGTGGATTTCGTTGCAAGCCAAAAGATATTTCTAAGTACATGAATACTCAATTATTTTTTTTATCCGTTTGGCACATGCTTCTCAAGAATAGCCATAAAACCATTTTTTATACACACTAAATAGGACAAAAAAATTTGTAACTGAAATTCACACATAATTAAAATGAAAATTCAATAAAAGTTTTAAAAACTTAATTTTTATTCTTACAATACCTGCATTTTTGGAGGAATTCTTTGATGACTGCTTTTAACTTATCTTCATTCATGGTTTCCATTCTTTGAGGCAGTGCTTGCTTTATTTCATCATAGACTTGTTCAATCAAGTCCTTTAAGAGCTTGACAATGTCAAATGACTGTGAAACAGTGATCCAAGCATGGCTTTTGAATTGCATCTTCACTTGTGTATCCTCGAAGACTCTTTTTACCAGTGTGGTTTTGCCTAGTCCTCCCATTCCCACCACAGAAACCACTTTGAGTCGAGAATCGCCATCCAGAAGCCAACTAATGAGTTGTTGTTTGGGCTTCTCGATGCCCACAAGCTCAGCTTCTTCTAGGAGAAGTGCATCGCCTCGACCATCATAACATGTGTTGCTAATGACAGTAGAGCTTGAGCCTTGCTCTGGGATTCGATATCCCACTGGAACTTCCTTAGAAAGATCTTCGACTCTGGACTTGAGTTTTCTTAGTTCAGAAGCAATTTGGTGGCGAGCTTTTAGGTTCCCAAAAAAGCCAACCATCTTACATAGAAAACCATAGCAACCATCCCCATGATCATTCTCCAACCGAAGCATGAATTCGTCAAGAACATCTTCGATATCGTTTGCAACATCTTGGACTTGCAGCACTNGAGCTTAACAATGTCAAATGATTGTGAAACTGTGACCCAAGCATGGTTTTAAATTGCCTCTTTACTTGTGAATCATCGAAGATTCTTTTTACCAGTGTGGTTTTGCCGAGTCCGCCCATCCCCACCACCGAAACCACCTTGAGTCGAGAGTTGCCATCAAGAAGCCAACGAATGAGTTGTTGTTTGGGCTTCTCGATGCCCACAAGCTCAGCTTCTTCTATGAGAAGTGCATCGCCTCGACCATCATAACATGTGTTGCTAATGACAGTAGAGCTTGAGCCTTGCTCTGGGATTCGATATCCCACTGGAACTTCCTTAGAAAGATCTTCGACTCTGGACTTGAGTTTTCTTAGTTCAGAAGCAATTTGGTGGCGAGCTTTTAGGTTCCCAAAAAAGCCAACCATCTTACATAGAAAACCATAGCAACCATCCCCATGATCATTCTCCAACCGAAGCATGAATTCGTCAAGAACATCTTCGATATCGTTTGCAACATCTTGGACTTGCAGCACTTGTTTTCGGAGTTNATCAAGAACATCTTCGACATCGTTTGCAACATCTTGGACTTGCAGCACTTGTTTTCGGAGTTGTTCATCAGTCTCTTTTTTCATATCGACATATCTCAAGAAGTCCTTCATTTTCTCCAATTCATCTCTGATGTGCTTAACTTCTTTCCCAACACCACCTAAAAGTCTTGCCTCTTCAATCAGCAAGGGCTTTAGCTGGTCGAGTAGAAAGGATATAGCATTCTCTGCCATTTTTCTCTCTTCACTTTTCTTAAGATGGCTTTTAGGTCTCTCAGCTCTCAGCTCAGAAGGTTTGAGGAAATGATTGAAGGACACGGNGGCTTTTAGGTCTCTCAGCTCTGAGCTCAGAAGGTTTGAGGAAATGATTGAAGGACACGGCTAGATGAAATGTTAAAGTAAGAAGAAAGATGAGCCGGTCCAGTGTAAAATATGAAATTTTGGAAGAATAAGAAATATTTTAATTGGAGTAACCTTTTTCAATTTTGTCATACCTCTGCGTACCATGAACCTTCTCGGAAGGCTTCAATGGACGAAAGTAAGATTTTTAAATTTTTGCACCTTCGAGATGGTTGAAAAATAATCTTAAGAGAAATTTTTTTTTTTTTTACTTAACTGTTTTAATGAAATTGATATACTTTTATAATTATAGATTTATATATTATTCCAACCATGATCCGATCCAAATTTGTTATACAATAATAAGATTAAATAGTACTCTCGTTAACACTATTTTATGAATTGGATGACAATTAATTGTCCAATCTCATCCTTTATTTGTACCCGAACCAAAGATGTTAACTTGGTACATCTTTTTGAGACCCTTGATCTTTTGTTGGGTGGTGTGTGTGTGTGTATATATATATAATAATAAAATTAAATAATACTCTTATTAACACTATTTTATGAATTAGGTGAGAATTAATTGCTCAATCTCATCCTTTATTTGTACCTGAACCAAACATGTTAACTCAGTACATCTTTTTGAGTCCCTTCATCTTTTGTTGGGTGGTGTGTATATATTATATATATGAAAGTCAAACAATATGTAAAAATATGCCCCCTCAAGTTATTGTTCATAATATGTTACGTCATTTCTTATGACAAAAAACTTAAAAGTCTATGAACAAAAATATTATAATACCCATCTCATAGCGTATTTTTAAACTGTTGTTTTTTTACATAATTTTGTCTTTTTATTATTCACTATCTCCTCAATCACATTGCTTTAAAATTAAACATTATTATTAGATTATCTGACCAACTAAAACAAAATCAATAGCTCGGGGACAAAGTGACACTCCTCATTCAATTTGTAATAGATATCTACAACTAGGACAACATGAAAGTCTATGAGCAAAAATGTTATAAGCCTCGTCTTGTTTGTATCTTTGAAAAATGGTTCCCATCTCACTCCACCCTCTTATTTTATCACATCAAGTTGAAAAATAAGTTAAAAACAATGGTTGGTATAAGCTTTCACACATCAAGTTGTATAGGTTGAATTTTTTCCACATTTATGGATAAAAATAAGCTTTCACACTTGAAACTTTTTTTTTCCCTTATTTTGACGGAAGCGTGTGGTTGTCATCCCTACCACACTGACGGTCGTTGCATTCTTCCTTTTTTTTT